ACACACATCCACATCAAATGTCTCACATCTCTGCTTGTGTTACATGGTTTCCTCCTGAAACCATAACCATCCAAATGCCAAAAGAGGGAAGCAGGCTCTGATTTCAGAACCAGATCTGCTGATAAAATCAGAATTTAATAGACAAATAAGGGAAAATTGGATTAGCTTTGCAATCTGCACAGTCCACTTACATCTGCGTTTGGGAAAAGCTGAAGCAGACCAAAACTACTGCTATCGCTGCCTATGATCGCAGTTCTCCATGAGGACCTGCAATAGAGGCCTGCCATTGGCCCATCACTCAATAGCCGGGCTAATGGCCTAACACTTCCCATTAATAAATGACTACTTCTCCTGGCCTCTCGCTCCTTCAGAGGGGATATTCATCACTGCTCTTAATTTAGTTTATCTTTTCATGCTCTCTCCCCTCAGCGATGGCCATCAATTAGCCACTATGGCCTTCCTCTTTACAGCCTCAGCCCATCGGCTGGCAGGGTCAAAAGGTTAATATAAGAATGAGTCTAATTTACAAACAGCTTTAAGTCCCGTGAGGTTTCTGGAATGTGAAGAGGTGGTGCTTAAATACTGCTGTCCAGGCCAAGACGATCAATATATTACGAACTAAGACAACCGAGAGGATAATATGAAGGAAATGACCATTGTTGCATGTGTTTCAATCAGGGATGTTGGCCCGATCACGCTGCATTGCAGCAGTGAGGTCAGAGAACAGGAAAATACAAGTAAAACATGATCTCTGTATGGGATCTGTTGTTTGTCCTAAGTTTTGGATTTGATCAGGCGTTGTCTTCGTAAAGAAAATATATATATATTAATAAAAAAATATATATATATTTTTTTTTTTTTTGAGTGGTTACTGGCCAGTAATAGGAACAATTTAGACACTCTCCTCTATCATCAGTGTTCAGCATTTTATATATTTGCTTTTTAATATTTATTAATTTTATAATTAATTAAATTTGTATTTCATTTGAATTTTTCATTTTATTTAGTCTATTTTTATGTAGTCTCCTTTAGTCTAATTTCCCTTAACTTTGTCCTGAGAAATATAATAATAAATTGCAAATGCTGCAGTTTGCAAAAGCTATTAAAAGAAATTAGTCAGAAGATCTAAGATCATACACGAAATATATTCATTTCCTCATAAATTTGCGTTTTCAGTTAAAGATAAAAAGATTTCAAGGCAGGTGCTTTTTTCCTCTTTTTAAATATAGCCTACTTTTTAAAAGAGGACGTAGCATAATAATTTCAGATATCATCTTCATTAAGAACGCGCGTTTTTAGACGTGTAAATGATACTACATGCCTTGTTTTAGCAGTAGTTCATCTTCACAGAGCAGCATTCCTCTGGATCTGCTTTTAATTTAGTGAGGTTCCTCTCCGGACAACTTGGAAAAGTGTGTAACATGAGAAGCAAAAAGACTGTGAGATAAATACAGAGCACTAACGCCGCTGGCCACGCATTAGTTATAGATTGTAGCTTTTGACACAGTATGTAAACGAAAAGGGTTAAAATAATTGGATTACAATAAATCATTAATAACTACTGGACATGTTTTATCGTGCAGTGTAAGGAAAAATTAGACATCTATATCTTGTATATTAGGTTAAGAATTAAAGTCAGGACAGCTGCAGAATTTAAAATATAAGTCATTTGTGAAATTTAATTGTGGTTTATAAAATGTTTTTCTAAAAAAAATTGTGTTAAAAGTTCCTATTTGTAAAGGAGGGCTATAAAACTTAGTTACGATCCAAATTAAGGGATTTTATAGTCACTTGCGGGGTTTAGGCTACTGAAGTTTGTTTTATTCCGTCTATGGGCATCTATTCTGTTTATATGATAAACTTTCCCTGTTGGTTCTCAGGCCTTTGTTTCTTTCCTTGCTGTGCTCGTTAGACAAAGATATGTTATGAGTAACGTGATATGTTACGAGAAAATGTCCCGATGCTGAAAACAAATGTTGTGTAAGGTGTGCACATGTAGCCTATTTGTAATGCACACTGAGGTCCACTGAGGTATTATTAAGGATTCGGCACGAGCCTCATTACAAGAGGATCCTCGAGTCTGATTATAATAATGATCCTATAATTATCCGCCAATTGATCCCTAATCCAAGATGGACATGTGATATGATCCGTGTGAGAAATTATGAACTGAGCTGAAATGCAGAGCTGCTACAAAACGGTGTTGCAACTTATTGTCCTCCGTGTTGTCGACAGTACACACGGGGAAGAAAGAAAAATTAAAATTACATTTAAATCAAACTAATTCGATTTTTTCAATTCAATATACTTGAATAGTAATTCAATATGTGTTGATTTAGCCTACTTGAGTCATGCATTATGATCGATCAAATAAACTTAATGAAAAAATATGTAGGCTATCAACCCAAATGTTTAAGAAGAGTCATTCCTAACTTTATCCTAATTATTAATTTATTCGGAGCAAATTTTGTATTGGATGTAACGGTGGATTGCATGTTGCGAAACATTCTGAATTTTTGAGGAAACAATCATTTAGTTCCATTATTTACTTTACAACTTCTATTATTGTCAATAAACAAAACAAACTGTTCACTGTCCAAACGCTATCCTCCTGTCTATTGCTATCATTTTTTTAAATTCTCTTTGTGTTTATACCCTATTATTAAAAAAAACATAGGCATATCGTTAATTACTTTAATGGTGGTTGTTTCGAATATGCGATTTTCAGTTTATTCAGCTGTAAATCTGTATTTGTTTTCCAATTATTCTGGGTTACACGCTAATAATGCGGTTGACGACTTAAACTTGACAAAACATTTGTTTTGCCTTGTTTTCCGTTTCTAGAATGCGGATGAAAGATCGTAATATCATCTCAATTTATAGTCAACTGTTGCTGTCAGTGCGATCATTCCCACATGACCTTTATTTCTTACACCTTCTCAATGATAAATGCATGCAGGCAACTGTCCTCAAAATAAACCCCCGACACATTTTAATACAGTTCATTTATAAATGACCAATGTCATTATTTTTGCAAACAATTAGGCCTAATGTTTTATATCGTTCCAGGGTAGATTACTCTTTTTACTTTATCCAGTTCATTTTACAATTTTACTTTCTTTTATTGCCTACTTTTCGGGGAAAATATAGAGGTTGCTAGACGTTGACTTTTTATTACTGTGATTTTGTTTTAGTGTATCATTTTTTATATACATATTTAGATTAGCTTACTTTTAAGCCTTGCTCATAAAGAGAAACATGTTAACGGAGGCTGATTTAAACTTTTCTCCTATATGGGCCTAGTTTTGCATTCCTCAAAGAGGCAACAACTTTCATTCTTCACAAAGATTCAAGGTTTCGATATGTGGCAGATTTATGGGCAGAGTAAAATAATAATAAAAGCAAAGCTGCGCGCTGGCACAGGGCAGCGAGCTGGGCTTCGAGGGAGAAATGGGATCTTGGGGGAAAACTAATGATGAAGAAAGATCTCCTCAATCCAAGCTCCTTAATTAAATGCACGGAAAGAACGAGAGAGGCACTGCACATCTGGATTCAATCTGCGCCCCTTTGATGGCATCAAGTGTTCTTTTCCCAGACCTAGGAGGCTGACGGAGGCTGCTTGGAGCCTGAACTCATGTCATTGCGACACATGCAGAGCTCGATCCCCTCCTGTCGAGAGACTCTTTAAAAGCGCACGCAATGCTTCGACATCCTCTGTAAACCGATTCAAAAAGAACAGCATTTTAGTGTCACATCATGAACTGACACCAGTACAGAACGCACGATACCCATATTATCCAAGAGCTTTGCCAGTGTGTAACTTTGATCATTTTGAGTGCTCGTGTTAATAGCTTAACATCGGTTAAGCTTAACAAGATCGTTGTCCCTTTATTCAATCTTGTCTTTAAGACCACAGTATATAATTTGGTGACGGGTTTATTCAGCATGGAAATAAAGTAATTGAGTAGCCTAATCATTGCAAAGAGACAGAAGTCTGTTCAGTTACTGCAGTTGATGATCAATAAAGATGATAAATGGACAACTGTTTTATTTTAAAACAAAGGAAAATAAAACAAACATTTTTCAATGTAATACTTTCTGACAAAGGAAAAATGACTTAATGACCTTGACAAATTCATGAGGATCTTCTCTGTTTTCTGGCTTTCTACACTCTAAAAAATGCTGGGTTGTTTCAACCCAATGTTGGGTCAAATATGGACTAACCCAACTGTTGGGTTAAAAAGCTAATTTAAAAATGTAACCAAAATTTAACCCAACAGTTGGGTTAGTCCATATTTGACCCAACATTGGGTTGAAACAACCCAGCATTTTTTAGAGTGTAGTCACAAAATTATTCACTGCTTATTTTTTAATAATAGTAATAATAATAATAATAATGGGAAACTATATGGAAAATTTTCATTAGACATATATTTTTAAACTATATAGCCTATACTCTAAACTATATATATTATAGGCCCTTTACTATATATAACTACACTCTAAAAAATGCTGGGTTAAATACAACCCAGTGCTGGGTAAAATAGGGACAACCCCAGCAATTGTTTTTTTTGACCCAGCGGTTGGGTTACTACCCAGAAGGTTGGGTTAAACATTTAACCCAACCGCTGGGTCAAAAAAACCCAATTGCTGGGTTTGTCCCTATTTTACCCGGCACTGGGTTGTATTTAACCCAGCATTTTTTTAGAGTGTAGGCTATACTCTATATATTTTTAAAGCCCAAATATCAGTGAGTTTTAATTAGGAAATTGCTACAATTCTGTGAATATAAGAGCTGTATTCAAGTCTGTTTCTGTACGATTCGCATTTTAATGTAGCCATTTCTGAATAACCTAATAGATCAGGACAAAAAATCACATCAGGTCACTTTGACCCATGAATTATTGAGTATTTCAGTGGGATGTTAGGGGTGGAGAAAAGAGATATGACTTCGTTAAACTTTAGAAACGCCGACAAAAAAACATCGCCACGTAATTAGGGCTTCTTGTATTTCTATCATCCCTCACCAGGGCTTCAAATGCTCGTGTATTTTGCTCTCAGGCTCCCCCCTCAGCGCCAGTGTGTGCCGTTTGAATTACCGGAGAAAGAAGCTGAGAGAAGCTCGTCCGACCTCCTACTATTGGGCGTAAATCGTCCATCTGTGTGCCATCAAACCTTTCTCGCCAGCTTACTCATTCCCTCACTCTCGGAACGAGAGGAGAACGTCTCTGTTACAGAAACTAAAAGGGAGTCATCGGGTAAAAGGCGAAGACTTTGGAGTTCTTGAATTGGAGATGTGTTTCGGTGATGCCTTTTTTCCATAAAGACTCATGATTGTCCAGTAAAAGAGCGGTAATTACGCCTGTTTGGATCCACATGACACTGAACTTCGGATGAAGAAATCAAAATCGATCTATTTGTCGAGCATAGAGTGATTGTTCATGGTCAAGACTTAACCCATGTTGGTTATAGGTCGCCTGGAGGATATCTTGGGTTTCGTCAGTTTGCGACATGACTTCCAGCTATGCTCATGTAATGGAGAGTCCGATCAGCGCAAATCAGGATCATTTACAGGCTAAGAAGAACTTTTCCGTGAGCCACCTGTTGGATCTGGAGGAGGCGCGGGAGATGGTGGGAGCTCAAGCGGAGGAGAGCGCAGGAGAGGCGGCCAGGAGTATGCTGGAGTCTCCGGGACTGACCAGCGGCAGCGACACGACACAGCAGGAGAGTAAGTTCATGAGCAAAACGTGATCCTCATGTCCCATCGATTCTTCTAATAGCTAAAACATTCGTAGCGTTTAAGTATCAGGATGATAGGCTAGTGATTTTTCCTAGTAAGAAATTATTATAGCTAAGATTTCAACTCCAAAAGACGTACAGGGGAAAAAAATAGGCTAGTTACTTCATGAAAATGACTTTTGTTTAGAGTCTCCCAATTATAAAAGTAAGTGCAATTAATTTGTTAATTCTAGTAGTTTTTAATTGGTATGCCTACACACTCTAGAAAGAGCAGAAACACATGAACGAATGTGATTAGCACCTTACCTAAACTGTCACGTTAGCAGATGTGTGACAGACATCAGTATTGTGTTCTGCATTATTATTAGGCGCTATAAGAGGGCACGATTGCGTTCCGATTCATTTACTCCACATGCGTTTAGTTAGCAATTAAGATACTTAGGCGAATTAATTGTAGTGTGTAAAACTGTTGCTTAGTAATCCCGAACTCTCTCTACAATGAAAATATAGTTTTCATTGATATTAAGGTGTGTTAGAATAAATCAAAATTTGTATTACTATTATTTTTAAAAAAGTGATAATTTTGCAAACCTTTCAGACTGTATCTGCAGGCCGTCATGCATGTAGACCTACAATATATAATTTTATTAGTAGGCCCATTTCTATTTAAAAAAAATATATTTTCTTAGTGAGGCCAACAAAACTATCTATAGGATCGGCAAAATTCATAAAAGGAAATAGATATTTTTTTAAATTCTAAGGCTATTTAAAGATTTAAAGACGTAGACCAAAGTTGCAGTGAATTAATTAGGCTTATTTTATGAACGAGTCACTAAAGTGGTTATTAGTCCATTTCAAACAGTAAATTAAACAGCTATTAAAAATTAGGCCGTCTACATTTTCTGATTGCACCATTTAGCCTATTAGAATGAACTTTGCATTTGTTAGGCATCATCCGAAATTTGCAATTTGAAACATTACGAAAGTTATAAACACGAGCCTCTTGATAAAGCCACCATTACAGCTTTGCGAAAGCTATATTTGTCTACATGATAGGCTTTATATTTTTTGCACATTTTAAATCTGTCACTTTGAATCAGACAAGCCATTAAGATTAAAACGAAATTAATTTTAATAGGTAACAAAATGGGGGGGTATAGCAACACGACTTAAGGCTCGTGTGAGGGCATTTAGGCCTATGTAAACATTTTTATTAATATTTTGTGAACAATTTACTCAACATTTCAGATGTGACTTCAGCATTATTTGAAGAGAAATGACTTCTGAACAACCATGAAGTGAAGATAAATCTCGAGTAGGCCTAAGCGCATAGTTAATAAAAGACGATTTTCGTTCTCACTATAAGCACAGCTGTGACATGTAGAGCTGGTCTTGCTCTAGGCCCGGCAATGATAACCTCTTCTTTCAACTTTGTTTTGAGTTTATGGCCTTTGAGGAATTGGGGCGAATCAGTTTGTCACTGGGGTATTTTCTCCCTCATGGGAAGTTTTATGGAGCGATTTAAGAACTGATTGATGAGTCCAAAGAGGATCTGCTTTTTTCCCCCGGACCAAAACAGGCCCAGACATCATAATTGGCATTTTACTACTAGAAGAGGCCAGAATGATTTTAGAAATAAAGAAAGAACGAAAGAAAGAAAGAAAAAAAGATGATGACAGAAATGTAGATTATTTATATAAAAGATGATGGATAAATAATATATGAAGGAAACTGATAAATGTAGTTTTATTTCATAATACAGTTTGGCTGATGAGGAGCTAATTCTACAAAACCTGATGATCATATATTATTTATAGTTTTATGTTCTGTATTCTATTTCTGTAGGTGTAATATAATTTATATAAGATTATCATAAGAGAAGACTGGATGACATAAAATATTACAGAATGCATCAATTACTTTATTTGATAATATTTTCCTATAACTTAATTTGTACAAAATGTCAAAGATTTCTCTCTCTCTCTCTCTCTTTTTTTTTGCAGTTATAAATAGCAGAGAAACATAAAGTCAAAATCACATTTCTGAAAAGATCTAAAGACATCATGAGGAAAAGTCATTAAATATTAGGGGGAAAAATGTGCATCAAATAAATTATAGTGAATACAAAAATAATTTATTAAGGGTCTGGGGTCATATTGACCTCAAACAGAATATTACTGTAGGCCGGGTTATTCACCTAAGATGTGTTTCTTGAAAATGTATAGAATACGAGAACATTTTCAGATTTTAAAAATAAATTAAGATTAGGTGTCCTGCTTACACACTCGTTAAGCTTTGATTGAGATATGGTTTTAAGAAGGTTCATCACTTTTGACTTAAGTATAATCAAACTGGAAAAATCTGTATTAACTCTCTGCAGCTCCTTTCCATTGAGCCGACTGTCCATTAAAAGGTTATACATTTCTAGTTCTTAATATTAAAAAAAGCATCTTTGTTTATAATTCCATAACAAAAACTGTTTCACTAGTTTGACTTAACTGTACCCCTATGAATGTAATGTCCTTTTTTCAGGGTAAGGCTATTTAATGGGTACAGACCTACTATAATGGGGATATTCATGTCAGATCTGTGTGTGTGCACTTGTGTTTGTCCCCCATAGATGAGCAACTCAACTCAGAGGAGAAGAAAAAGCGTAAACAGAGGCGGAATAGGACCACGTTCAACAGCAGCCAACTGCAGGCCTTAGAGAGAGTATTTGAGAGGACGCACTACCCTGATGCTTTTGTCAGGGAGGACTTAGCACGCCGGGTCAACCTCACTGAAGCTCGAGTGCAGGTTAGCAGGTTGTTTTTCATTTTATCCTGAAATGGTCTTATCATGCTCAGTGTCGTCTCATCATGTGGATGCAGCAGTGGCACATACTTTACCTTCACACAATGGTCCATTCTGATGGTAAGGCTGTTCTACACACTGTATATGTCGAACTGAGCACCTTTCATGATTTTCTAGGTGTGGTTTCAAAATCGGCGGGCTAAGTTTCGGCGAAATGAACGTGCAATGCTGGCCAGTAAAAACGCCTCTTTGCTCAAGTCTTTCTCAGGAGAAGTAACAGCCATAGAGCAGCCCATTGTCCCACGACCCGCTCCCAGACCCAATGACTACATGTCCTGGGGCAGCTCACCATCGTACAGGTTAGATGTCACCAAATTTTTTATACCTCTGCATGCATTACCATTACCACTGCTGCTGTTTCTGTTGGTGAGGACGTTAATTGGGCAGAAGTTATAAGAATATTCTGGGTTATTTACAAATTAATGACCATGGACAGCATCTGCTGCATGAATGTTGTCATCCCTCATTTAACTAAAACTGTAAATGAAAGTAATTTACTTGTGAATTAATGTTTCAAATATTCAACTATTGCACCATTTCAAAAGTATAACCATGAGATTTAAATATTAAACGTGTTAGTCTGAATTACATATGTTACTTCTGATGGGAATGCATGATTTAGACCAAATCTATACATTAATTGGTAACACTTTACAAGAAAGTTCCATTTATTAACATTAGTAAACAAGAATGCATTAATTAATGTTAGTTAATTTCATCATATACTAATGTATTATTCAAAAACAAAAGTTGTATCTGTTAATATTATTTAATTGACATGCACTATAATTAACGGTTGAACTAACGTTAACAAAAATGAATATGTTTATTAATAAATGAATGCTTATTGTTAGTTAATGCATTAACAAATGTTAACAAATGGGACCTTATTGTAAAACATTAATTGGTAACACTTTACAAGAAAGTTCCATTTATTAACATTAGTAAACAAGAATGCATTAATTAATGTTAGTAAATTTCATCATATACTAATGTATTATTCAAAAACAAAAGTTGTATCTGTTAATATTATTTAATTGACATGCACTATAATTAACGGTTGAACTAACGTTAACAAAAATGAATATGTTTATTAATAAATGAATGCTTATTTTTAGTTAATGCATTAACAAATGTTAACAAATGGGACCTTATTGTAATGTGCTACACAAATATTTGCAATGCAAGTAGCTTTGGATAAAAGCGTATATATAAATCTATGTAACTATCCATAGAACACTATTTACATGGACTTAAATTGCGCAAATTCCACCTGCAGAAATTACATCAGTGATACACAACTATAAATTTGAAAAGTAGTTTGGATGATTTAGACAACTTAACAGCTTGGGTAAAACGCATTTTAGGGAAGATTTCATGAAAGTGCTTTAATCAAAATACCACCATACTTTCTGTATTTTCTTTACTGTAAATGCATTTTTTTTCAAGCTGAGGGAGTCAAAATGATCAAAAGTATTAAATTAATTATTAAAAAATATAAAATAATTTTCTTGAACTCTGAAATTTTGTGCCACAAACGCTGTCCATACGAATGAAGTTGTAAAAACCCCAGAATAGTACTGCATTTTCATCACAAACATTGTGACCATTTTTTTGCTTAAGTAAATAAAATGAACAGAGACAGAGCATGCATTTCAGATCGCCAATATTATTGAATTATTTGTTATTAACAAAATGTGTGAAATCTCATCCTAAAAACTTAACCCTTTCCTTACAGCACCATGGCAACTTATTCTCCATCATGCGCTACCAACAACACAGCCCAAGGCATGAATATGGCCAACAGTATCGCCAACCTGAGACTGAAGGCCAAAGAATACAGCCTGAACCAGGTGCCCACCGTCAACTGAAGTGGACAGCAGGGCTGTCAGAGAGTCTGAACCACATGTCAGAGAACAATCCCAATGTCCTGACAACACCGGCCCCGTACTATTGACATAAATATTGTATTCTGTCCTCTTATATGTGTTTTACTCTTATCCATCAAGGAAAAGAAGCAAAGGAGAATTTCTTCAAGGTACAGAGCTTTCCTAAACCAATGATTTACATAAGGCTGTCATGTTCTTGGCATGTGGGAAAATTCTGGAAACTTTCTCTGTTCACACTCACTGTGGCAGCATGAGTGTGGTCATCCCGTTTGAAGAGCGTGGCTTACTATAGATTGCTTTCTCGAGACTGTTGCCGACCACAGGGATTTGATGACCTCTGTGGAATCCATATACTACAATCTTGTGGACATCTGGGACGTGTTTAGGATTTCCCCTTGATTTCTCCTTGGAACTCATAAATATGCACTGAGGCCACAAATTGGGATTTGGATATTTTGATTATTTGGAACCGGGTGAAATTTGGCTTCCTTGTTACCGTACTCTAAAATCACTTTTCACTGTTTTCAGTTTAAAACACGCCGGGGCTGTTTGTTCATTTTGGCATACACAGAACTCTAGTCATGTATGCAAGTAATGAATTTGGAACCTAGTTGATTTTACCCATTTATATTGTCTAAATATATCTAAACATGTAATATTCCTTTGCAATAAAGACGTCCAAGCAGTGTAACAGCATGGGTTAGAGTGTCCTCAAATGTCTTTATGGCCTACCAGAGAACACTTCTGCGATTTACGCTGCAGCAATTTGACCATGTTTTTACCACAAATGTGCTGACTGTTGAGCATAGACTGCTCTCAATCTCTGATTTGTTCTGTTGCTGGCAACAGTTCCACATACCAGATATTAAACCCTATTACATTATGTACATGTATAGTCTTGGAGGAAGTGTTTTAGAATAAAACTAGATGAAAAGCATACTCCCACTATCGGCCCATTTCATTTACAGTATTACACAATAGAAGGCAGATGAAATTATTCAGAAACCCAAGAGGGCAGATGTTACATGTGCTTTTCCAAAGCTAAACTCCTCAAAGTGTGTTTGTAGGCTCTCATAGATGGTTGTTACTCTTTCCTCCTCTCTGTGTGAACATTTACCTTTAAACTGTAAAATAACTCTTCGTCAGGACTCCTGGGGGCTTCGTGAGAAACAGCAGAAAGCTTTGCAAAAATTCCTGCGGCTCTTTTCCTCTCCACCCGCTTTCCACTCCACTTCGGAGTGCACTTTTCTAAGGTATACAAGGCAAAGCAAGGAAATGACAAAATGTAGCTAATCAAACTGGCCATTTACAATGAGATCCAAACACTTCTAGCGCTGTTGTTCTTCCCCTGCCAGCTATCGTTCCATTAAAGTGCTTGTGTATTTGCTTTGGATTTGAAAACGTTTTAAAGGTTGACGAGAAAAATCAGCTGACAGGAGCGTTCGGAAAAACAGCCTGTGCGTTTTACTACCTGATGATGGAGTCTTTGGTGTCGCGTGGTGAGCTTTGAATCCTTTAAGCAGTCTTCAGGGCCGGCGCTGTTCAATTTTTGTTGAACAGGAATGTTTACTTTCAAAACAGTCTGTTTATGGCACAGGAAGCGATCGTTTGAGTTTAAGTGGCCGCGGGCTGTTTTTGAATGGCTGACACTGGCTTGTTTATGTACCTGATGGCTCCCTTGGTCTGCTGATTACATGTGACCTTAAGTGACCTCAGAGACAGTCAATTGGAGGAAGGGGGTGAGCCGGTGAGTTGTTTTTATTTTCATCTGTCTTTCAGCTCCGTGAAAGAAATCTGTTGGCTTTCATAACTGTAATGTAACTCTTTAAATACGGCCCAGCGATTTGTTTACATAATAAAATGAGATTATCAAACAGAATTGATTAAATTATTAGACATTATTGCACTAGGATACTTGCTTTTCATGTGCTTAATATTTTTTTTTTTTTAAATTGTCAAAAATATTGCAATGCACAGTCATAGACAGTTGTTACTCTTTCCTCCTCTCTGTGTGAACATTTACCTTTAAACTGTAAAATAACTCTTCATCAGGACTCCTGGGGGCTTCGTGAGAAACAGCAGAAAGCTTTGCAAAAATTCCTGTGGCTCTTTTCCTCTCCACCCGTTTTCCACTCCACTTCGGCCTTTTCTAAGGTATACAGGGCAAAGCAAGGAAATGACAAAATCTAGCTAATCAAGCCATTTACAATGAGATCCAAACACTTCTAGCGCTGTTGTTCTTCCCCTGCCAGCTATCGTTCCGTTAAAGTGCTTGTGTATTTTCTTTGGATTTGAAAAGGTTTTAAAGTTTGAAGAGAAGGATCAGCTGACAGGAGCATTTTGTGCGTTTTACTACCTGATGATGGAGTCTTTGGTGTCGCGTGGTGAGCTTTGAATCCTTTAAGCAGTCTTCAGGGCCGGCGCTGTTCAATTTTTGTTGAACAGGAATGTTTACTTTCAAAACAGTCTGTTTATGGCACAGGAAGCGATCGTTTGAGTTTAAGTGGCCGCGGGCTGTTTTTGAATGGCTGACACTGGCTTGTTTATGTACCTGATGGCTCCCTTGGTCTGCTGATTACATGTGACCTTAAGTGACCTCAGAGACAGTCAATTGGAGGAAGGGGGTGAGCCGGTGAGTTGTTTTTATTTTCATCTGTCTTTCAGCTCCGTGAAAGAAATCTGTTGGCTTTCATAACTGTAATGTAACTCTTTAAATACGGCCCAGCGATTTGTTTACATAATAAAATGAGATTCTCAAACAGAATTGATTAAATTATTAGACATTATTGCACTAGGATACTTGCTTTTCATGTGCTTAATATTTTTTTTTAATAAATTGTCAAAAATATTGCAATGCACAGTATATCAGTACCGCACTGGTCATCAGCTAATTATAGTGTTTTTTTGGTCAATTTTTATGGTCAATTTTATTGTGCATGCTCATTTTTTTTACATTTAGATTACCTTTGTGGTCATCTAAAGGTCACTTCAAGTTAATCTACACTACTGTTCAAAAGTTTGGGGTCAGTAAGATTTTATTTTTTAAGAAATGAATACCTTTATTCAGCAAGGGCACAATTAATTGATCAAAAGTGACAGTAAAAACATTTATAATGTTACAAAAGATTTTTATGTCAAATAAATGCTGTTCTTTTGAACTTTACATTAATAAAAAAAAATCCAGAAAAAACTGTGACAGTTTCCACAAAAAATATATATTAAAATAGAAATCAGTTATTTTAAAGTGTAGTGATATTTCTCAGTATTACTATTTTTGTTAAATAAATTAAATAAATGCAGCCTTGATGAGCATAAGACTCTAAACCTTTGAAAGGTAGTATGTACACACACATAATAATTTTAACTGTAATCTTTAGCTAGTCTTAATATCCCATTTTCATACTGTACATTATATTGAAGTGACGCCTAAATTTACAAGTAATATTTAAACATTTGATTTAAGTTTTTTAGTTTTTATTATTTATTTATTTAAACAAAACAAATAAGTGGTTAAAAGGTCCCCAAATGAAACTTCAGAACAGCTTCAGTCAGATGAGTTTGAACATATGGTGTCATTCCAACTGTTAAACAAACGGATGAAAAGTAGCTTTACATTAAATAAATTGTCACTTATTTGTAATGTTCTGTTGCTTTCCAAATTCAGTTGGCAGCAGCATCCAATAAGCCCAGATTAGGTCCATGAACATTCCTGATTGGTTGACCTCTCTCAAGTTAACACTGATGGACAAGAAGAGTGTTTGTCAACGATCCCAGTTTGAGCTTTTTCTTAAATGATGCGTCTATATTAAAATTCCAGTCATTATTCCAATCGAGATGCCTTTCATGTGGCTTCTCCCCACAAGCTGGGCTCGTTCCATCCAATTTACAGCGGAATCTTTATGATCCAAGCAGTTCATGAAAACTGCAAACCCTTTCCAGATACAGCCGTACTCTAAGGACCTTCAACATACGGGATGTTCACTTTGGAGTCATTTCCTATTATTTCGACAGTTTTATTTTTACTTGACACAACCCTCTTTGAACCATTTATATCAAGGTCGATGGGCCTTGAAGGTTTCTTAACAAAGTGAGTCTCTGGTTGGAGGATTTTTAATGGCACATGCAGAAAGCTGGACGGAATCGCTACTGTCCTCCTCACGCCAACATCAACCTAACACCTACGAATAAATTTATGACTCTAAAGCGTGCAGAAGTTTTCTCCTGTAATGTTCTCAGGTGGGCTCCTATGCTCATATATGTTTGCTCACACTTTTGAACCTATAAATAATAAAAAAAGCCTTGCACATGACCCTAGGAGAGCTGTTTGAGGAAGCCACTGGAAAAGAAAGAAAAAACAACTTTCATGTTGTCTCCTCTGTCTCCCTGCCTGGGCGTCCATCTTACCTTTCACAGCCTGGGCTCGCTGACCCCAAGTGCTTCCAGATGTCTGGAACTCTGACCTGAGCCCCAGCGGCCCTGATCATACCTCCACCCCACCCCCACATCCCTCTGCACCCTGCAGCCCACTGACAGAGCCTCCCCACGGACGGACAGCTCACCCCCATCAACCTCCACATCTGGAGCCCATTAAGGAGGAGACAGTCAGAGAGAGAGAGAGAGAGAGAGAAAGAAAGGCAGAGAGAGAGAGAGAACGCTAAAGAGAATGGGGTGGAGGTTCAGTTAAACTAGAGTTTGGCTGGAATTGCGGTTTGATCTCTCCTCATGCCGTTACCTTTGAAAAAGCCACTTTTCTTATGTATAGCTCTGTATAGTAACATAGTAGCATTGTGTTCTTGTGTTGATAATCTCAGAGGGAAATTAATACAATTACCATGTAAAAATAAAAGTTATTATAATTATGGCCACATGGGTTATAGTCTCATGGTTAGACTTGTACAGATAACATTTTAATGGAATAATTAAAAAAGGAGTTATAATTCATTGTAATCATGGGCTGTCAAAAATAGACTTCTTAATGACTTTTTAAAACGTATTTTCTAGTACAAATGTCTAAAAATCATTAAAACCAAAAAACATTACTTGAGAAGCAACACTGCATAACATGGAAAAAATCTGCCAGTTCAAGACAAAATACACTTCTGAAAACAAGTCTTAATATCTTATGCAGTTTTGCTTCTCAATTAAATTGATATTGTTTCAAAGATATTTAAATATTTAAAGGGGTCATAGGATGCCCATTTTCCACAAGTTGATATGATTCTTTAGGGTCTTAATGAAAAGTCTCTAACATAGTTTTGTTCAAATTTCTCAATGGTAGTGTCAAAAAAACCTTTTTTACCCTGTTAAAAACAGCTCTTTTCAGAGCATGCAGATTTGTAGCATTTTCCTTTAAATGTTAATAAGCCCTGCGCACCCCGCCCCTCGAGCTGCTCTCAGAGGGACTGTTTACTTTAGCCGCATTCATCGTGAAACTTGCTATTTAGCACATTATTAGGAAAGGCGATTTGCAAAGATTCGTTAAAAAAAAAAACTTACACACTTCTTCTGTAGATGAGGCTGGATCACGAATGATTTGCGCGACGCATTTATGTAGATTGGGGGCACATTCCCTTCAGAAACAAACATAATCCACTGCGTCTTCAGCGGCTCAGATGTTGGGAGTAAATGACGACTGCTGTTCATTATTACATCCAACAACAGAACACCTCAATCGCTTGTTAGGAGTCATTCTTGTCTACATCTGCTCCGGCGGTGAAACAATGGCGGACTGATGACAGCTCACTCAGGGTGGGTCTGAGGTAAGACCCCAGTCCAGTCTGTGCTGAAACACTACTGTCAATCAAACTATCGTGGGAGGGGCCTGTCTGTGTGACGTCACACAGACAGGCATCTGAGATCGGCTCGATTTGAGAAAGGGGAAAACATTTAATGAGATAAAAAAAATAAAAACGGGTAGATTTTAATAATTTTAGGGTGGTTGTGTACACACAACACACATTTCAGTTCAAACAACTTGTAAAAGTGCATGTAGCATTATATGACCCCTTTAAAGAAATAATGAAATATTAAAATGAATTTCAGTTGTTTTTCCTAATGAGTATTTTTATTAGATATTTTAAAAGGAAAGAAAAAGGACATAAGACTCATTAAGAATTTTTTGTAGTTCATGAAATTATCATAAAAATAGTCCTCATGCGAGTTTTGAAGTCATTATTCACTATAATTTTCACTCCCACTAAAGTTTTAGATGTCATCAATGATTTAAAAAATGGTGTGTAAATATCACTGACATCAAAACATAGTAACCAAACTGTAGTGTAGTTTTAGTTACCCGAACATGACGCACCATTTCTGAATTCTGGACACATGGGTCAGATGCAATTTTTTAAATAACAGCATAATAACAGTTTTACAACTTCAATAAAACTGTTTGGAATATACTTGAGCTTGGCCCATCCAAAAATACAATAAAATGTAAATAATAAAATTTGCTTTTCAAATGAATTATATATCAGGATATAAAAAAAAATAGCTTGTTTCTTGAAGACAGCTTTCCAGATCGTGGGAGTTATGAGTCTTCGAACATTGTTATGAATTTTTTCAGGGATGGTGAATGCTGGAGATGAAACAGGCCGAAACACTGGACATCCATCAGGCCTGAAAATGACTCTGATGATCCTCAAGCATTGAAAAATATGTTCTGAGAGCCCCAAAAGAAGTCACTCGTGACCTCATGAGATACACTGACCCAGCAACAGTCATGTCTATGTTGTAGTTTAGAGAATATTAAATTGAATTTTAATTATTTTTCTAACGGTCTGTCCTCAAACAATCTCTCCTTTCCTTGATGGAAGTCTTCCAAATTGCCTTCAGGAGAAGTTAGT